AATATTTTTGGGTAACCTTTTTTAGTGTATTGTGGTTTTACTCGCTGTCCATCGCCACACGTACAGGGGTCAAATGAACAAACTAAAATAAATCATTGGTAGAATTGATTTGAAGTTATTTTGGAGAGTTATACTGGTTTACTGGGGATTTGAGTAGGTATTGACGATTTCAGTTGGTCCACTAGTGGGAATGACTTGGAGGATGATTGTTGAACGCTAAGTCAACTCAACATGTGGAAAAACTACTAATATGTTTCGGGCCACAGAATAAGCAACGATACTTTAGTAATGATGCATAGACTACTGTTAGTGGGATGTGACGGTTTGGAAGAGGATATGCTCTGTGTTGCTCAGTTGTGTTAATGTTAGAAAAATAGAGTGATTTATGAAAATTTAAAAGGTCGCATTGCCTATTGAATTCTACTGTTGACAGATAGATTTGTGGCTAATTCCTTGATCAGAAGGATGATTATTTAACGCTGTCGTTTGAAGCAGTTCTCTGGCTGGTGGAAACAAATGACTTGAAGGAAACTTTTAGTTAAGGGAATAGGCTGAACAGTTTTATTCTCAAACCTCATCTCATTGTTAGTTTGAATATCTTTTTACTGTGAACATGTTGAGCATACACTCGAAATTTTTAATCATTTCTATCTAATGAGTATAGTAATGAGGGGAATAGACTGATAAGCTGAAGAAGTTGGAAGTTGTAGTCCTTAATGTCAGCCACTTTGGATGTCAGGAAAGATATTCACCGTTGGTATTAGATGATGTTCACATCATATACCAAACTGATAGAAGTTTAAGAATAGTGGAACAATAATGCGCTTGCCGCGACACCTAACTCTCTTAAGCTTCATTGGTTGCAACATCTTGGGTGCACACTTTTGAGGTGGTTCAAACAAGTGCGAAACAACCATTAAGTGCCCCCTGACTTCTTACTGATTTTCCAGGCGATGTCAGTTCATTATGAAAACAAACCTAAAAACCTAAGGATAGTAGAAATTTGGAGAATAAAGCACAATCACTGAAAGAGTTTGATAGAAAATGGACATAGATGGAAAGTTGCGAAAAATCTGAATACTTAAAAAGTAAATTATCATGAAAACGGTACATAAATACAGGAGAGTTGATGTTGTATAAGAACTAAAAAGAATGGTAGTAGGAAAAGCTTTTTGAATTGTTTATTCGTAGCATTTTTGTTCTCATCCTCAAACGACAAAAGTTTGGTTCATCTTGGTGACTATTAGAAGATTTTAGGACACGCATTTTGTCCTGTTTAGAACTTGTCAGGTGGGCGTACTTGGACTTCAGTGATTGATGTTCCTCCCACTGAGGCTCGAATACAGTACGGATCGCTTCCAACGTCAAAGCTTTATCCACTAAGCCACTGATGCATGATAGTCACTTTCGGTGCATCACGGGAACAACCTCGCCTACTGTTATGCACGGACGTCCGGCTGACGAGTCTCAAACAGGACGACACGTACGTCCTGGATTCCTCTACTAGTCACCGAGATGAACATAACATCATGAGTATCCGGCAGAATCAAAGCATTTGCATAGGAGCTCATCTGCCAGCAGAGGTCGAGGAATTCTACTCTGTATAGAAACCGGGAAGTGCAAGTGCTATAACAACAAAGCTAAAAGCTATTGTATAACTCACTGTTGATACACTAACCATAAAATGCTTGAAATTGGTTTGTCTACCATTTGCTTGTAATAACTATGAAGTCGCTTAAAGCAATTAGGAGACAATCTTGGCATGAGAAAGCTCTCTAAATAGCTCAGAATGAATACTTATAATGAATCGAATTTAAGAATCTATGCACTCTGAATAGTCTTGGATGACTTCAAAGATCATGAAAGGGTTCCCTGGAATGATTATAATACCCTTATGAAAGTAGTTTTAAGATACTAACAAATTAATCGAAACGTTTTCTTTAGAATGACTGTTTGTCTTTCGGTTTACAAGAAACTAATTGGTTTGATGATAGCTCTTGGCAAATAACCGAGAAAACGAAAGGGAGGGGCGTATTAGGAGTTAGGAAGTACTGTATCATCAGTTCATTCTAGCTTAACACCCTTCAATAGTGCGATCTTGTTATGATTTTGCTAGGAATAAACTGAAAAGGTTGTTGTTGTCTAATTCCATTGAATTTACTCTATTCGTTTCCAAGGTGTAACCATTATCGGTGTTCATCTGAGTCCACTCGAGAATATGCTGAACTGACTGATTCAAAAGTGTTCTCTTTAGAAGCACAAGAGATCAGTCTTGAAATCAATCACTATTAAGCAGCTAAATTTTCGTTCAGTTGGTAGGTATGCTGATTATTTATGAGTGTTTAGATTTTATTAGCTGTCAATATAAAAAAAATAACTGACAAATATTATTCTAGGATTATTTACTCTTAGTACTTGTATATTACTTATAAGGCTATTCGAGTAGTATGTAATGTCGTTGTATAAATAAAGAATGGCCATTCTGACCAGTATCACGAATCTTCTTTTACTCACATCTACACAAATCCATCCCTTTTTTTGTAAGAGTACAATAGTACTTTAATGAATTTATTGCATGTTCTCCAATTTGAGTACTAATACATATGGTAATAAAATATGATAGACAATTTAGAAGATGAAGTTTACTTGGATAATGTCTGTGTACTTTAAATGCATAATAGATGTCGAAAAGTCTGACTGTCGAATCAATTTATATAAAATGGAAAAATGATTGGACGTACCAATAGAACAGTTAAGATAAGCAAGGGATTAAAATTTAGAAGGTGATGGTGATCATGATAAGAAAACAAAGTTTACAAGGGTGTAGATGTAGTGTAAGATTTGTGTATATGTGTGTTCTCATCCTTGATTACTCCTACATAAAACTTTGATAGCTGTTTGAAAATTAATTTTGTGACACATTTATATGAAATGTTTAGTTACAGCTGAAGAGGATCGTCTCCTAAGTGCGCTTCTTAAGGTTTCTTTCTCCTTTTGTTTTTGAAGTCACCTATGTACACTTTCTTCTACCCTTAATTGCATGACTTGATTACTTCTGCTTATGTATGTGTGATCATAACCATATATGAACTGGTAGACGCAATAGGGTGTGACGTAATCATTGATACAGTGTTTAGGTTTGTGATGAAGGATGTGGTTTGTTTAAGTGAATAATATGTTTTACTAAAGGCTGATATTAGTCTACATCTTAACTTCTTGACAGCCATGTATAGAGTTGAGTTCGGTGCTACCGGACTTTTACAATTATCTGTCAACTTCAACCGGTATTCATCTTCCAGAAATTTGATATATTCATCCATTGCATGGAATGTGCAGAGACGATAAACACTATTCAATACACATTTTATTAGACCTCATGTGTATTGGATCACACAAAAACTCACAAGAACAACAAAGTTGTTAATTCCTTTCAGGTAAACAGTCAAAATATTATTTGTTCTCTTGGAAATAGAGTTTTAAAAAAAATACACTTATGGTTTCAGTAGTGTTTATCAAAGCGGTTGAACAAAACACCTTTCTCTCATGTGCATAATTTAGGATTATTATTTTTTCCCCTTGTCTTCACAGAGGGATATATGGGTTGGTAGTACATCTCCATCTCACTCTCTACTCACCAGTCTTGCAAACATGGCTCCACCACTGCCCATAACCCTTCATTTCTTCCTCACACCATCTCCTCTACTTCAGCCTCCAACGCACAACTCGTCGTTTCCCCTCTCAATTCCACTCGACCATCTTGCCTGAAGTGTGATATCCCCAAATCGTCTTCTCAATGTATGTCCAATCCAATCCATCTCCACTTTCTTCTTCTGCTTACTTGTTGGGCGATAGCTTCTTGCTGCGTTGGTTTGTTCCCAGAGCACAGTTCCTCCTTGCTTATTCTTTCTGGTCATCTGATCTTCAGTATTGGGTGAGCATAGACGGCAGCTGTTGATGAATGTCTGTAATTTGTTGAGAATCCTTTTCGTAATGCATCAAGTCTCTGAACCACATAGCAGCACTGACTTGACTGAACTGGTGTTGAAAATCCCGATATTGTTCACGCTTTATGCTGGGTGGAGTAGATCTCCATACTGATTTCAGATTAATGCAGGAGGGCATGTCTTGCTGCCTTTCCGATCCTGGCTTTCACGTCATCATCTTTGCCTTTACCACTTGTAGTCGAAACGATGCTGCATAGGTAGGTAAGTAGGTGTGGAGTGGTAGGTAGGTAGGTAGGTAGGTAGGTAGGTAGGTAGGTAGATGAAAGAGACTACTTCACTACTTCACATTTCTCCCACTCATCGTGACTTGTTCTCACCGCGGTTGTTGTTGTTGTCATCATCGTCGTCGTCATTCGGGTATCTTCATCACCCACATCTTCTCTACGTTCACCTGAAGGAAGTGCCGTATTCGCTACCCCTTCGTTGACTCTTCTGTCAACTCGTTGATTTTTGCCTGCACTTCTTCAAGCTTGTGAGACATTCGACATAAGTCATCACTGGTGAAATCCAAATCTCCTAGGATCTTTTAATTGGTTCAGCCAGTGTATGCCCATCTTCTCGCTCCTCACAATTGTTTGTAGCATGATTCAGTTTAGTCGAGTCGACCACAATCATGAAGATGATTGGTGATAGTAGGCGGCAACTTTCTCATACTCCTGTCTTTACTTCATAGGCGACTATAATCTCTTTAGATAGAAGAAGTATGCATACTTACTGGTTTAGGCGTAATTCAATGATAGAAAAGTGAATAGATAATAAAAATTACGTTAAATATTTACTCATACTGGTGCTATGCAAAGATTTGTTTAGATATTTCATATAGATACTGGTTAAGTGTTACCACCTCCACTTGCCATCCTGGTCCTCATCAAATCGAAAAATACACACACACACACACACTAGATAAACTATGCGAAAAATCACCAGAAAACAGAATCATAAAACTACCCCCCATAGAAAAAACACATTCTATGACTAAACAAAAAGTATATTTACCTTTTCTGTGATGGATTCAATTCTCTGGCTAAATTGTCTTCATAAAACTTTTTCAGAATTGTATGCCCTAGAACAAGTTCATTTTTAAATCTATCACCAAATATGAAATAAATAAAAATGGAAGGAGACAAAAACAAACAAAATAAACAATTGATTATCTCATTTATGAAATATTTTATAAACACTTCTTATGTGAAATTTTTGATTGTATAAGAAACACTTTTTAAAAAAACCCCAAGAAAAATAGTAATTCGATTATTATTTTCTCATGATTTTAGTTGTTTTTTTTCAGTTTGATGGTTTATAGAGATTTATTTATTGATTTCGCTTTGATATTCATCATGAACTGACATCATTCACAATGGAAAGCTTAGTGATGCCTTCGAAGTGAAGACAATAGTATGAGAAAGTTGCCGCCTACTGTCACCAATCATTTTCATAATTGTGGTCGACTCGATTAAACTGGATCATGCAACAAACAACTGTGAGGAGCAAGAAGATGGGCATACACTGGCTGAACCAGTTAAAAGATTCTAGGAGATTTGGATTTCACCAGTGATGACTTATGTCGAATGTCTCTCAAGCTTGAAGAAGTGCAGGCAAAAATCAACAAGTTGACAGAAGAATCAACGAAGGGGTAGCGAAGACGACACTTCCTTCAGGTGAACGTAGAGAAGATGTGGGTGATGAAGATATCCGAATGACGACGACGATGATGACAACAACAACAACCGCGGTGAGCACAAGTCACGATGAGTGGGAGAAATGTGAAGGAAGTGATCTCTTTCATCTACCTACCTACCTACACACTTACACACCTACCTACACACCTACCTACCACCCCACACCTACCTACCTACACACCTACACACCTACCTACCTACCTACCTACCTACACACCTACCTACCACCCCACACCTACCTACCTACCTACCTACCTACACACCTACCTACCTACGCACCTACCTACCTACCTACCTACCTACCTACCTACCTACCTACCTACACACCTACCTACCTACCTACCTACCTACCTACCTACCTACACACCTACCTACCTACCTACCTACCTACCTACCTACCTACACACCTACCTACCTACCTACCTACCTACCTACCTACCCACCTACCTACCTACCTACCTACCTACACACCTACCTACCTGCCTACCTACCACTCCACACCTACTTACCTACCCCTAGGCAGCATCGTTTCGACTACAAGTGGTACAGACAAAGATGATGACGTGAAAGCCAGGATCGGAAAGACAGCAAGACACGCCTTTCTGCATTAATCCTGCTACATCAAAAGCCCTATCACGTGTTAGATGTTAATTAGATGAACAAAACTTGAGTACATTGGTTTTATCCCAAATAAGATCAATAATCTAGAATAAAATGCAGCTGACTGAGGAAGAATTGGAATCAACTATTCCTTTACTTGGCGTGCTGGTTATGAGGCGTAGCAATGGAAGGCTGAAGAGATACATCTACAGGAAACCCACATGGAATGGACAGTTTACTAATTTCTATAACTGGGTGACGATTATGAGGAAGAGTAACCTCATTCACCCACTGTACTATCGAATACATAATATTTGTAGCACGGACTGAGTTCAAGTTTAATTTGACTTTCTAAGATGGACGCTTGCGGAAAATCGCTATCCTAGACGATAAATCGATAAGAACATGCAAGAAAGACGTGCCAAAGCAGTCATCAGCTCAGTTTTGAAAAAAACTTTGTTCGCGAATCTGGAATTTGAAGGTGATGCAGCACCAGGTATCCTAAAAATCGTCTTTCTAGATCAACTAGTAGGACTTTTTCCTCAGCCAAACTTAACTTGACCTTATTATTACGTATTATTATTTGTTCCTTGGGTTTCTAGTGGAACATACGGATTCAGTAGCATGCCTCCACTCCACTCTCTTCTCTGAAATCCTCCAAATCTGGCTCCACGACTCCCCACAAGCTCTCATTTCTTTCGCACACAATCTCCACCATGTCACTGTCATCTCGGACGCCCAACTCATCGTTTCCCATCAGGGTTTCACTCCATGGCCTGGCCTGGCCCGGTGCGTGATGTCCCCGAATGGCCTTCTCAGTGCATGTCCTATCCATCTCCACTTCCTTCCACTGCATGTTTGTTCAGCGATAGGTTCTTGCTTCGTTGGTTCGTTGACAGCCAGCCAGATTTCCTTATGGTTTATTCTTTCTGGCCATCTGGTCTGATCTTCAGTAACGAACCAGTGTAGGCAGTTGTTGATGAATATCTGTAGTTTATTAGAAATCCCTTTCGTAACGCGCCAAGTCTCTCAATCATCATATTGCAGCACTGAATTGAGTGGTATTAGTGTTGAAAATCGGATGTTATTCACGCTTTATGCTGAGTACAGTGCAGAAGATCTCCACACTGGTTTCAGGCTAATGAACGCCTTTCTTGCTATCTTTCCCATCCTGGCTGCTTTGATGTCCTCGTTTGTGCTGCCTATAGTTGAAACGATGATGCCTAGAGAGGTGAAGGAGGCTACTTCCTTTAAGTTTCTTCCGTTGATGGTGATTGGAGCTTGTGGTTGTTGTTGGTGGTGTTGGTTGAATATCTTCATCACCTCTGTCTTCTCTACATTCACTTGAAGTCCTGTCTTCACTACCTCGCCTCTTCTGTCAACTTGTTAGTTTTTGCCTATAGATCTTAGAGTTTGTGCGACATTAAACACAAGTCATCGGCGAAATCCAAATCTTTTGGGTTCTCTTCCCCGGTTCAGCGTATCCCCTTCTTCTCGCTGCTCACTGTTTGCTGCATGATCCTGTCCACCACTTGATCTTTACCAGTCATAAATTGTTCTCCTTTTGGATAAAGCACAATATTCCTCTACAGGCTACATCCATTTGTATCTACCAGTTCACCTGTTCCTGTGAAGCAAGTTACATCGACCGTAGTTACATATTAGTGTCAGCATGTGTACAAGAACATATTCCAGTATGGTTTTATAAGGGTGAAGGGAAATGGCTATCTATGAACTGAAATCTGACCTTTGTGTGCAAAAGAAGTATGTACAATCTTTATTTCTCTCTACCTTGGCCTTTATTTAGCTTGGTTTTTGGTGTGCTACGTTCCTTCTTGGAAAAGCAAGACAGGCGTGCATTAGCCTGAAACCAGTGTGGAGATCTTCTGCACTCAGCATGCGGAACAAGATACGGATTTTCAACACCAACCCAGTCAAGTCAGTGCTCTTGTATGGTTCAGAGACTTGGCGCGTTACGAAAGGCATTTCCAGTAAACTACAGACATTCATCAACAACTGCTTACGCTGGCTCGCTACTGAAGATCAGATGGATTGCCAGAAAGAATAAGCAACAAGGAACTCTGGGAACGAACCAACCAAGAACCTATCACCCAACAAATATGCAGGAAGAAGTGGAGATGGATTGGCCATGCACTGAGAAGGCCGACTGAGGACATCACGCGTCAGGCCCTCGAATGGAATCCCCATGGGAAGCGACGAGTTGGACGTCCGAGGGTGACATGGAGAAGGTCGTGCGAGGAGGAAATGAGAGGTTGTGGGCTGTCGTGGGACCAGGTTCAAAAGATCTCAGAGAACAGAGGTCACTGGAGGCGTGCTACTGAAGCCCTATGTTCGACTAGGAACCCAAGGGACTAATAATAATAATAATAAAATACGTTCCTTCTTCCTTTTTCACACACCCCTCTCCTTTTTTGTCAGATTAATCTTTGTACTTGTATGCCATAATTACCATTTTATTTTTATATTTAATTATTTCCGGTGTTATTTCATTACATCTTCCTAATAATCGCAACTTTTAACAAAACATTTCCAATTTATTCCAATTAACCAGTTGTCTCATTCATATTATTTATTACTTGACTATGTGAGATAGCCGTAGTTTGGCAGACTAGTATTTATACTGGGTGGTAATTGAAGGTGAGATAAAAATCTGGACCGCGGCCGGATTCGAACCAGCGACCGCCGGTTGATTATTTATTAACTTTACCATGTTCTCACCCCTTTGTAATCTATATGCGCCTTGCAAAACGAGGTAAAAACACTACGTAAACCTTTTTGTTATCATTCTACCCTTAAGTCATCAACTAGCAACACTGTTATTATTATTATTATTATTAATAGTGGAGAATATTTATAGCTCATGTGGGTGGTCTTGGTTGTATTGCGTTCTCTGAGTTGGGTTGTTTAATCATGAAGCTTTCATCGTCTTTCTGGACGACATCCTCCTCCCCTGCTTCACCTTTCATCTTTCTGTCGTTCATCATTTTTCTTATTGGTTTATAGATTGGGTCTATGTCTATGCATCTGTTGATTGCTGACTGACTGACCTGAAGGCCAATCTTCTAGGAATTCTCTGACATTCTTTGTTTCCTCTCTCCATCCAACATTTCGACATTGTCGAAATCCAATTCATGTCCATAGTTGTTATCCACATGCGTTGAAATGAGTGACGAAATATCGTGGCGTTCAATAGAAGGATGATGAAACAACCCAGCTCAGAGAACACAATACAACCAACACCATTGTTGTTATTTGAACCCCTTATTATCTAAGTTAAATTTTCCACATAGATTACAGCCTCCAAATATCATATATATGCGAATGTACAGCTTGAGAATAAATTCATTGAAAAAGTTCTCTTAGCTGAAAATCTTCTGTTTGTGATGTCACAATGGGAATTATGAATATACTAAACCTTTGTTTATCGGATCTACACCCAACATATTTGATAGGACTAATGTTCTAACACCTACATGAGAAGTATGGAAAACTTCTCTGTCAACAAAGACAAAGAATAAGAGATAATAGGACCATAAAAAGCTGATGTCGAAAGTAGTGTGATTACATCGATATATGACCATGTTAGTTGGTTGGAGGCAATTGGCAGGAAGCCCTGGAACTACGTTTCGTGCCTCTTGGCACTCATCAGCAAGGCATATCTGCAACCTCAAAGGAACTGATGTCCTGCCTGAGATTCGAGATTCGAACCAGCGTCACCCAGTGTTGTAGCCACCGACTTTACCATTGAGCTATTTGGACCACGAATGACCTCCTGTAGGGCTGGCT